ATGGATTTCTTTTTAATGGTAATTAAACACATTTCCATCACAACTCCCATTCCTCTAATTTAAAAAAATATATTTTAATTGCATTCGGATGTATTTTGCTAAATATTTCTATATCATGCCAATATTTATTGGTACATGCCTGCATTTAAAATACAATTTCTCCAAATTTTATTTTTGAAGTTTACCCAGAGATGAAAGGAGTATCGCTTTTGACAAAAGTGCTCTTTATAACGTCTTGTAAATGCAACAACATAATGCAGACGTGACCTTAATCCAGCCTAACTTTTAAAACCAATCATTGCGTTGAAGTGGAATTGCTTTTCTTCCTAAAACGTTGTCCTGATTTAGGTGATGTAGTGTGACTTTTTTTTTTTTACTTTTTTTTTTTACGGGGGGATTTACCAAATCACCTCTGCACAGGGTCCTACAAGGGTTTATACAAAAAATAAATAAAAAGGGCAACTTTTTCTATGAAACAAAAGGATCAGTTAGAAAACAAACCCAAAACAAGAAAGAAACACATGTTACTTTTCTCTCTATATATAAAAGTGCCAAGTTGTATAGCTCTACAAACAATAATCACATATAGATAAAGATACAACCAAGACAAACTATCACAAATCAACAGCCCCGCCCACATCTTGCCCCTCCCACTGCCCACCCCTGCCCCGCCCCCTCACTTCAACAGCTTATGTCCATCAACATTCCAGTAGTTCTGACACCTGAAGGGACTCGTGACAGAAAACAATGAAACAAGAGCTTAATCGTTCAGCCGTCAGATCACAAAAGATGGCTTAATGTGACACACAATTATCGACGCACACAAATTATAATTGATTTTTTTTTAGAGAACTCTGCTGATTTCTTGTGTTTTTATATTTCACCCTACATTTTAATTCGCAAATACAAAAAAAACAAAACCCAAAGTGACTCTTATGAGTCTCAAAAAATGCACGAGAGGGGAAAATAAACACACAAAAATAAGAATAAAATGAGATGTTTGTCTTTCTTTCTATATCGTCGTCGTCTCTGCTTGTTTTTTTTCATAACCACCAAACAAAAAAGGCAATGGAATGCCTGTCATCATCAGTTTGCCAATATATAAATCTCTCATTTTGCTCAATCATAAATACATTCATTAGGAAAATGAACTTTACCGATGAAGAGAAGTCATGTGTGCGTACATGTGCGTGCGCACCTGTACGTACATGCGAACACATATACATACACACATACATATATTTACTCACATAATATTTCAGGTCTTTTCATTTTAGCATTACTATGTACATAAATTTTCCTATTATAGCTTTGGATTTTTTATTTTTTGAAGCCAAATTCGTTCCCAGCTAAAAAAAAAAACAGAACACAAAGGTGCCTCAGTAACGTTTCAAAGCTTCCAGAAAAGGAGGCGCTTTCGTGAACAGTACAAATGAAGCGAAATGGAAAACGCTTATCCAAAAAGCAGTATACGTTTATCACAAAGCTCCTACAAAAGTTCATTCAGATTCTTTGGACCTCATTGATGAAATGCAGGCAAACTTTTTTGTGTAAATTGTTAGCAGAAATGTTCTGTCAGACTTTTTGCTAAGTTGTTAGCGTAATGTACTGTATGTATAAGAACTGTATTCTTAAAGGGCACCTATGATGACAAATCAACCTTTGTAAGCTGTTTGTATAGTGTTTAGTGTGTCCAAAGTCATATTGGAGTGATATAAACACAATTAGTTGCTTTTTAAAAATGTCCTGATGTTAAAATATGAGCTCAGGGGTTTTGAGGCCCACCAGGAGTACTTTGGAGTGTGGTTTTCCCCCACCCACCAAACTGATTGGCAGGCGTCATGTTAGTATAATAACATGTACACACATTTTTTTTTTGCAAAAAAACCGAGATTAAAATATATGCTAAAACCCTCTGTGATTTTTCATAAGTTGAAAACATTTTTAAAATAGAGCAGTTTGTAATAACGACAGTAAAATCGGCATATTTCTTAACCGCTATACTCACTATGGCTCATCATTTCAGAAAGGCTTGAATCAACTCACATGGTTTTTTGACTAATGAGCTGTATTTCAGCTTTCTCTGTGTCTGTCTCTATCACTGACGGCTGTTTATCTGACGTAATTTAGGAGAAGCAGATGTGCACGTGGGAGCAGTGGGCGGAAAGAAGCAGCTCAATTGCATTTAAAGCCACAGGCTGCAAAAACAGCTACACTCAGACACCAAAATAGGCATATTTTGGAGGTTATAATAAATTATCGAGTGTATTGAGCTGAAACTTTACAGACACATCCTGAAGACACCAAAGGCTTATCTTAGATCTTGTAAAATTGGTAAATTAGGTGCTTATTAAATCATTTATTATTACTAAAACAATTATTACTAAAACATTCCTTCATAAATTTTTGGTAGCATGTCTACATTACTACTAATACGTTTGTAAGTACTCTATACAATCCAGAATTTTTGAGGAAACTGTTCACAAAACCATTAAGCAGTGACAATTTTGAATTTTTTATAGAATAAAAATTTTCATAAAAACATTTTATTTCATGCAGACTAAATTAAATATGATTTAAAAACCAAGCAAAGTTTGTATTTGAACTGTATTATGTTCTTGAACATACAACTATTTCCTTTTGCCCAGAAGCCTGTTCAGGCCAAAGATAACTACTATACAAATACATGTAATAATTGCTATATTAGCATTGTTTATCATTGTTCATTTTATGCTTTATCAACTGCTGCTTTAAGAGTGTGTGTCCACCAAAGTGTTTTTTTTTCTTAGGCCGAATGTATTTTTTGTAGTTGTTTTTGACAAGGGGCTAAGCTTCCATTTTACACAAATAATGAGAATTTTTGAAAGGTTCCAACAGTTAGAAAAGCATTTTATTTTGAAAAGCGCTGGCATTTTCATGAAACAGTTTTCTAAAATTACTTTGGTGTTCTCGCGCCCTAAATGATGAAGCTCTTTAATGTGAGAGAGATTCTTCTTGGTAAAAACGCAGGGCGAAATTCATTCTGTGGTGTATTTCCCGAAAACAGTGGTTAGCCAACTAAGGTCACAATTTCGTTGTTACAAACATAGTTCATTGATTTGGCATTTCCTAAATTCATCGTTCGAATGAACATTCGCACTTTGTACGTTTGCAACTATACCTCTCGAGCTTTAGTTTGAAGCATAGTAACTAGTTGTGTTCCATTTCCAGTTATCTCCCATGCCCTATTCCTTTCGAATGTTCCAACATTTTAACTTGGAATGATTTATAAATAAAAATTAAAGTCATCTCTCTTAGGTCATCTCTCAATATCCAGCTAATATTGGAATTTTTTAAAATAAAAAATTCTCTAAAGAAATTGCTACTTGACCCCGTTTAGAGCGTCATTAAGGACGTTTACGATATAACTAACATGTTTCAAACAACGGATTTGGAACAGAGCAACTATGGTTTTGGGAAACACTCGTCACTACATCGTCCCAAAGGATGCATCATACCATGATAGTTCAGCCGCGAGTTATGTTGTTGTTTGGGAAACGCACCCCTGATTGACCAAGTATGCAACTTTTTCATTTGTACTGGGCTACTAATGCAATTACAACTTATTATCGGGGTTCATGTAAATGCAGCTTGTATTTATTTATTAATGAAATTTAGTTTGATATACTCTGAAAGTGCACTTTTACAAATAATTATTAAACACACATACATTTCTGAAACTGAGATCAGTGTGTTCGCACAAATCCGTTCTGCCTGCATTTAACAAATAAGGCCGTTTGATTCTGTTCTCTTGGTAAAAGTTTCTCAAAAAGACAAATGACCCTCACTACAGGTTTTCCTCCACATAAAATGAGGTTTAAACAATCAAAGCAACAACAAAAAATCAAAAATAAAAGGAAAAAAAGCAGCACTTGTAAAGCATAGCCTCAAATCCAAACCATTATCTCATTATCTATGTTCGCAACTCTCACATCCTCAGATTTGTTTCAGGAAAAAAATAATATATATTTATATATTTGCTAGGAGTGTCGATCTGCCCTTAGTTGTGGGAGAAAGAACAAATGGTGGTTGTATGATTAAATGGGAAAATGCTCATACATGTAAGAAGAAATACAACATAGAGACCCCCCTCGCATCCTTTAACAGGAAGAACTCATGTCCACAGAGCGACTTGCTCTGATTTTTCCTCCTTTCGTCTTGAAAAGAAAAACAAACTCACGCAGAGGAAATCACAATCTCACAGTAGCATCTCCTACAAAAATGCATCTGTTGCAACAACAACAACAACGACAACAGACTATCTTTCGTCTGGTTTTCCCTCCTGTTTTTCCCTCTGTCAGCTGTGCTCCGTACACAGTCCCGCGTCTCGTCGGTTTCAGGGAAGTGAACGTCCCTCCTCGGCCTCTCGCCTGGTCTGTTTCGGCATCAGGTGCCACAGACAGAGAAGCTTTGGTTCAGAGTTAAGTGTTCACACAAGCACTTGTGTCAAAAAAAAATCATCATCACTCCTAAAATAATTTCTCTCTTTTCCAACCCAAAAAATAGGAATGCAGGAAAAAAATATTGTCGAAAAGAAACGAATAAAACACCCCACCTGTTCTAATCCCAAAGACGTACATTTGACTTCACGACTACCAAAACTTGTGCCATGAAATCTAACGCTCTCTCTCTCACACACACACACCTCTGATTCACAAAAATATTCTGGAAGAGTCCTCTTCAATTTAACTACCACACTCCGTAATGGTTCGTAGGTTACATAGGTGCGGCTTTCATCTCCGGGTGTCGACGTGTGATACATTTTTCGGAGTGACTTATGTGAATATTATAATCGTTATTCGGTATCAGGGGTCTCTTCTCTGACCGCTTAGTTTGGTGGCTTTCTTTGTCCGTCTCTACAGTTTAGTTTTGTTTTTGTTTTTTTAGTAGGTGTCCGTGTGCCGCAAAGGTCTGGCAGCTGAACACAGGCTCAGTCTCTCTCTTTCTCTTTCACTCACGCTCTCTCTCGCTCCTGCTGTTCACGCGGTCTGGTAGAAGTTGTCAGCTTGCAGGTTGTTGTGTTTCTGCATGCTGTAGTAGCCGCTGTATCTCGAGTCGGGATCTGCAATGCGGAGCATGCGCTGCGAACTGTCCACCTGGACCTTCGTCCCCTTCTGGCAGTCCACGTACACCAGCTGGTTGTTGAGACATGTAGACTGTACAGGACAGAAAGAAACTCCACAGTCAGTCAAGTTGAAAGTTTTCACATGCTTTTGCCATTAAAGGCTGGAATCCGCTTGTTAAGTGTGACGTCACGCGAAGCGGCTTCCGGGTCCAAGCGCTCCATTCAAATGAATAGGGAGACTCATGAAATGGTAATAATAAATGTTTACAAAGCGATTTAATGCTTTCGAAAATCACGATGGCAGTATGTATGTCCATGCCTAATATCCGATGGCCAGAAAGTGATTAATTTTTTATAAACTGTTCAATCTTTGGTATTTGTTATGCAGCAAGCCCAGAGATTGTTGTGTACACTATGATTTTATATAAAATTAACTTTAATGTATGATAGGAATAAATGTGATCATAAACGAAGGATTTCTCCACTCAAATGAATGGCAGCTTGGACCCGGAAACAGTATACATACGTCACAAACACGTCACCACTTAACAAGCAAATTGGCTTTACTACTTTTGGCCAGATTTTGCTTTAAAGAGTTGACGCTATACTGTAAAGATATCCATAAATTCAGAGTGCACTGACACTAGGCTATCCGAACCGTGTTCGGGCGCATTCATTTGTTTGTTTGACTAGTGTGAGTGCTCAGTTGTCTGGCCCTAGCTTAGTTGGAAGAGGTGTGCCAGAGTGTAGTTCGGTTGGCGCTTTTGGTGCGGTACACTTCTAGTATGAAGGCAAAGGGGACCTAAGTGATATATATATAATATATATACACAGACACACTAGCCAGTTTATTAGGTACACATGTCCAACTGCTCGTTATCACAAATTTCTAATCAGCCAATCATCTGCTGCAGTTCAAATCGACCATCAGAATGGGGAAGAGATGTGATTAAGTGACTGAATGTGGCATAGAGTATTTCAGAAACTGCTGATGTACTGGGATTTTCACGCACAACTATCTTTAGGGTTTACAGAGAATGGTCCGAAAAAGAAAAAATATCCAATGAGCGGATATTTACCTTGCCTGATCTCATGAGTCTCAATTTCTGCTGCAACATTCAGATGGTAGGGTCAAAATTTGGCATCAACAACATGAAAGCATGGATCCATCCTGTCTTGTATCAACTATTCAGGCTGGTGGTGGTGGCGTAATGGTGTGGGAGATATTTTCTTGGCACACTTTGAACCCATTAGTACCAACTGAGCATCGTGCCAATGTCAGAGCCTACCTAAGTATTGTTGCTGACCGTTTCCATCCCTTTATGACCACAGTATACCCATCGTCTGATGGCTACTTTTACTAGGATAACGTGCCATGTCATAGAGCGCAAATCATCTCAGACTGGTTTCCTAAACATAACAATGAGTTCACTGTACTCAAATAGCCACCACAGCCACCAGATCTCAATCCAATAGAGCACCTTTGGGATGTGGTGGAAAGGGGTAATTCTCATAATCTATTTGCAGCCGACAAATCTGCAGCAACTGCGTGATTCTATCATGTCAATATGAAGTAAAACCTCTGAGCAATGTTTTCAGTGCCTAGTAGAATCTACGCCACAAAGGATTAAGGGAGTTCTAAAGGCAAACGGGGTCCAACCCAGAACTAGTCAGATGTCCCTAATAAAGTGGCTGGTGAGCATATACGTGTATAATTTTTTTTAATTATATGTTGTATTATTTTATTTTTACATTTAACTATGAAGCACAGACAGGAAATTATTGTGCAGAAAAAGGAGAACAGGAAAGTCAAATGATCTCGAACCATGAATCAGACTCAGTTTGCTGTACTGCAGTGCTACAGTGTCAGAGTGCTAGGATACTGCCTCCGATACACCATTCACACTTATGTAAATGAACTAGTGTTAGCTATGTGTTAACACACCCTTAAATTGAGGTTGCATCTATGTAGTGAGCTGTAACATACTGCATTACCTTATTGGGTGTGCGATAGCAAGGGACAGGGATCCACTGCTTCCGCTGGTTGACCAACAGCAAGGCGGCTAGAGTAAGCATCATCATCAAGACTGGTAATGCCACCCATGCCCAATGCAGACCAGCATCTTCACTGGGCAGAGGCGTCTTGCCATCTAGGTAGGGCATCTGCAGACTTCCAAATTCACCTGGAGCCACCAAAAAATATACATTTGATGTTATATTCACACCTGACAGCAGTGACTCGCAGAGCAATGTCTGACTGGGGAGGTGTAGAACAATTCAGAATTGATTTATGCCATGTAAAGTGCAAATACGGCTTGACTGTAAAATACTGCCAGACATCAATGTCAGGATTTAAAGCAAATGCCAGAGCGTTGACAGACAGACTCCCACTCACATCAGCCGTAACTAAAGAAATTCATACAAAATTGAGTTTCAGATTGCAAGTCTAAAGAAACAAACAGTCAGCTTTGTGAAACTCTGGCATTGAAGTTTGCTTCAAGTTACTTTAAAAGTTGCAAAAATGTTCTGGCTAACTCAATAAAACTAGCACATCAAACCATTACACGGGGAAAATCAGAAAAAATTAGAGCTAACCAAAACATGCTAACAGCTTTACTTAAGCTTAAAGCTACATCTACATTACTCCAGATACATTTTCAAACTAACTCTTTTCCTATTTTTTGCCTGGATTTTCTGTAGAAACTGAATTTTTGTCTTTTTTGCTGAGTTTGGCTTTTTAAATTATTAAACACGGGGCTAAGAATTTAGGGGGCTACACTGCAAAAAATGCTTTTCTTGCTTAGATTTTTTGTCTTGTTTCTAGTCTAAATATCTAAAATTTCTTATATCAAGAAGCATTTTCTAAACAAGACAATATGTTTTGCTTGTCTAGAAAACTCTTCTTGATTTAGGAATTTTTAGATATTTGGACTAGAAACAAGACAAAAAATCTAAGCAAGAAAAGCATTTTTTGCAGTGTAATAGATCTGACTTCAACAGTAGATATATGAACAGTTACAAAAGCTAGAAAAGTTTGAAGACAAACTTTAAGGTGTTTTGAGAAAGCCTCGTCAAAGTTTAGTTTAAATTATTGAAGTAGTATTTAAGAAGTTTAAAACAGTTGGCATAATTTCATATATGTTAGTATGTTTAGTATGGATTGATGGATTGCTAAGGTGTTCTAGGTCGTTACTAAGGTGTTGCTAGATGCTTGCTAAGGTGTTCTAGGGGGTTGCTAAGGTGTTGCTAGGTGCTTGCTAAGGTGTTGCTAGGGTGTTCTGAGTGGTAGCTAGGCAATTGCTCAGGCATTGCTATATAGTTGCTAAGTTGTTGCTAGGGTGTTTTGAGTGATTGCTAAGGTATTGCTAAGCAGATACTAAGGTGTTCTAGGTGGTTGCTAATGTGTTGCTAGGTGGTTGCTAAGGCCTGGTTTTAGCTGGACAGGCTGGGAGATCACAGCAATTAAGAAATTAAGTTATTGCATCTTAATAACATCATCAGAAATTAAGTTATTGCATCTTAACATGTACTTCTCAAGGTATGGTCACAAGGAATCCTGCTTCAGAAATAACTTATCTCCCTCAGTCATCTTTCCATCAAGCAAGATTTGGTTGACGTCACCAACCAGAGGTGGCAGTAATGCACTAAAAACTTTTGTTGTCGAAAACCGTTAAACAGGAAGAAGAAGAAATCATCATTCTTGCCATCATATGGAATTACTTTCACCGCCTAGACACCGGCCTCACAGCTCCGTGAATGTCGGTGCCATCACTTATTGATCCGGGGTCTGTAAATGTAGCTTGTGTGAACGCTACTGCGCTACTTGACTAATAAAATAGCTACGCTACTAAAAAGCAATTTGATTAGAAAGTATCGACGCTATCACTATGCTACTGAGAATTGTAGTTAAGCTAGAAGCGTCACTACTTGTAACAACGCTACTGCCCAACACTGGTATGTCTAATGTAAAGTCAATGGCAAATTTTTTTAACAATGGAAGTCTATGGGACAGTTGCTAGGGTGTGGCTAGTAAGTTGAAAGATCATCAGTGATGCCGATTGGTTGTCTGATTTGAATGAGTCCAAACTTAGATCTGTAGGAGATTCTGAAACAAAGTTATGAGGTCACAAGGTTTGGTCCAATGTTAAGTCAGTGGGACATTTCCGAAATTTCCGGGTCAGTTTTCAGAATACCGTAAGTCGGACCAGTTGAAAAAGATATAGCAACCCGAGTCAGACCAGTTTGGAGGTTTGGAGTAAGTTTGGTGGTTGTAGAATGAATGGTTTAGGAGGAGATGCATATAGAAATCTAGTCTCAGAAGAAGAAGAAGAATATTAAGTGTATGTAGTATAACAGTGTGTTGGCTTTCTCAAGTCACCATAAATATATTGTGTTGTACTCCCAAACGTACCTCTAAACTGTGGCATAACATCATTTTCGCTGTGAGTGGGCCAGGCTGGCTGATGTCTAGACTTGTCTCCTCGTTGGTCCGTCTTCTCGATGGGCACATTCGTAGGAGCGTAACTCTCTGTAATGATAACATCACAGACACAGAAGCACAATGAGAGAGAGAGAAGAAGAGCGTGTGAGAAGAGAGCACATCATATAAATCCTAACTACATTAAGAGGAGAGTTGCGAAGTGCCCTCTCAGAACAAGCGGAATGGGGTCAGTGTGAAATTGCGGGTCGTCGGCTAATTAAAAGCTCATCTTCAGAGCTGTGTCTTGGAGTGGGAGAAAGCACCGAAGGGTGAGTGATTACCCAGAATGCACACGACACTACTCTCAACCCCCTTATTGATCCCGAGCCAAGTGACACAGCAATAAAGAGGGCCGTGATCAATGACATTATCTCCCAAATGCAAAGAGAGCTAATTTAGCCTCTGTCCAACTCCGACTTAATCAATCCTTTTAAATGATTCATCTCAACGAGTCCGTATTTAGACGAAAGACCCATTCAATTAGAGAGAATGTTCTAAGTAAACACTGCTGTATGAGAGCCAGACAGAGAGAGAGACAAGCAGATTAAGAGAAAGAGAGAGAGAGAGAGAGAGAGTGAAAAACGAGAGAGAGACAAAACTACAGACAGCAAAATGGCAGGGTGCTTGAATCAGAGATACTGGCATTATTCATTGTGAAGAAGGCTCTTGTTGTTTTCATCAAAAAAGAGCATAGAATTAGGAAATTAAGCAGGATTAAGAGGGATAGTTTACCCTGAAACCTAGCATTTATTCATTATTCACACACCTTCAAGTGGTTTCAAACTTCTTTTGATACTGAACACAAAAGGAAATTGTGAATAATTCTGGAAAATTGATGCAATGGTAGCATTAGCATCCATAGTTGCAGGGAAACAACACTAGGAAAGTCAATGGCTACTGGTTTCCAACATTCTTCAAAATATCTTCTTTTGTGTTCGACTGAAGAAAGGAACTCAAACAAATATGAAACTGCTTGAGTCTGACTAAACAATGAACAAATGTTATTTCTTTTGGATGAAATATCATTGTTGCTTTAATAATAACACAGGGTAGGGCTTTATTTTATCAATAAGGATTTGATTGGACAGCAAAAAGTGGTTAACTTAGCTAAATGTATTGCCCCTTAACCACCCCCCCACCCCCAACCCCACCTGTGGCCTTGGCTGCATCAGAAAATAAATACAATGTCTCTAAAATGTTTCTAATTTACTTGAACCTCTTCAGAACCAAATTATGTTCCAAGTTTATGTTGCAAGTTTTAATAAAAGTATGTTTTCACAGTTTGTAAGGCTACTAAAAATGAGACCAAATTATAATAATAAAAATGCATTGAAACATAATTGCTGGTATAATCTCAAATTTTTTTTCTAAATCACAAACATTTACATTGTAACATTTTTACTTTAATTTTTAGGTTTTTGTTGTATCGATTGCATCTTGTTTATAACAAACTTTATCTTCATCTTCCTCATCACTGCACAGTATGTCCACGTTTAAGATATTTCCATTCTCTATATGTTCAAGAAGATCTGTATATTCTGCATATGAAATTGTTTCAGCAATAATTTAGTTTATATATATTTAATATTCAATATATAGTTCAATCAGCCTTACTGGAGATTTAATTTAGGATTTAATTTGAAGCCATTGTCCTAAATAACAGACATATTTAAAAACAAATCCTGATCTAAAGCTTGCAATGTTACAAAAAACATTTAAACTTTAATAAGGGAGTGCAATCCCTCTTTTTTTTACATACAATCTCTGAAATATTGGCAAACATATCAATAAATCTGAATAAAAACATTTTAAATGTGTCTTACGTCTGTGTCTGGAGTGAAGTAATGCCATGCTGTTTTTCAGGGTAGTGGACTTTTTTCGAATTACAACATGCCGAGCCTTACTGCCATTTGATTGGATGACAGTCGTGCACTGTCATGGACTGCAGGCTTTAAATTAGATGAAATGCTCAGGAACCACAAGAAACTGACATGTGATTTCCATTGTAATGGACACAGGGTCCGAAGGGGTTAATTCTTTAAAACTTTTAGTTAAACTTAGTTTAACTGTAGGGCAACAAGAGTTCAGTTCTGCTTAAAGTATCTGTCAAACACATAAGAATCCTAAATGAAGTTGAATACTTAAGCCACGCTTAAATTCATGAATATGAAAAATGCATGAACTGCATCACATTAAAGAAAGAAGGACAGCACAGGAAGAATCTCAAGCAAGAACACCTTTGTTAAAAAGTGAGCTCATCCCAAAATGAAAACTGTTATGAATTTCTCACCATCATGTCATTTAAATCTCCTCAGACCTTTGTTCATGTTCATAACACAAAACAAGATACTTTAGATGAAATCCAGACAACAATGGTCCTGAGATGTTTAAAGAGGAACCTAACATAACCTGACATAAATGCTGCGTCCCAATTCGCATACTTATACAACGCCCAAAAAGTGTGTACTTTGTTGTGAAGGAAAAGTATATACTAGTGTGCAACATAAGAGTATGCAAGCTTTGAGACATACTACTTCCTCATTAACAGATCGTTATGTTGCTTAGTAACATCCCTTATCAATCATGACACATCTTACACGTTTCCTATATATTTAACTACCTTATTAGAGAATCAGCAACAGGCTAATCTGCCATTCGTGAGTCTTTCATGCAGAGAAATCTCCTCAGGTCTTTGGATATTTATGCATTCAGATGTTAATGTCCAAACATATCTTGATATAAGTTCAAATTGTTGTTGCATATGAAATAATGCAGTTTAAATATTTTCCAGTTGGCTAGATATTATTTAATAATCATTCAAACAACTTTACAGAAGCCTCTCTACTTGACAGTTGCCATGTTTGTAGCTTATTTACACTTTTGACCAGATCCAATTCATATCCAGCGCACAATGTATTGTGGGCAATATGAGCAGTTAAGCCTACTTTCCACTGTACACGACAAACGACAAGCGACAGACCGGAAGTCGTTCATTACCAATGGAGAGTAGTCTGGGAGCTGCGTAAAGTTACGATCATCTCCGTATGCAGAAAATTCGGATCCGATTTGAGCTGCGAATCCATTGAAATATTTGAACTCCTGCGACTAAACCGTATGTGACCGGCCGACCGGATGTGATGTATTCCAGTCTTTTACAAGCCGGTCAGTGCGCGCGAAATGAGAAATAGTACTTTTTAGTAGTTAAAATTTGAATTAGAAAAATTATATATTAACAAAAAACACTGTTGTTCATAAATGTAATAAAAATATAATTTTTTATGTTTTCTCAACATCCCCCCCAATATTTTAGCAGTCTATGAGTTTCTATTATTCATTCATTCATTCAACCATGGTAAACGCAAAGAATAAAGGCTCTTGCTTTTGCACTCTTTTATTGCGGACACTGTGAGAACAGCTTCTCTCCCATGGTGCACGTCAGAACTGAAAATTCAGTGCGACTGCCAGAAGGGGGCGTATTCCGACAGTCATGCCCAAATGTTATGTGCAGTGGAAAGGCAGCTTTATAGTATGGACACTTCTGCACTTCGAATTTTCAGAAATAGTAATCCATCCGGGAGCCTTTGGCATTCTCTTTTCAATATACTATGGTTTGGGACATAATAATTCTATTTTTGAATACTGTTTAGGACGTATAGTATGCGAATTGGGACGCAGCATTTATATGACTTCAGTGATTCAATTGTAATCACATCAAGCTACAAGAATTCTTTTGTGTGGCAAAACCTGCAAAAATAGTTTTGCTTGCCTGTCTTCTGCATCAAATCGGTCAATATGATGATATTTACAACTGCGCTGCTGAGTCTAATGGCAATGTGTTGTATTGCCCATTGTAAACACACTCCCCGATGAACTGGTGACAAAGAGAAGACAAAGTCAAACAAAGTAAATTTTAGTTTTTTTTTTGTGCTCAAAATTGTTCTTTGAGCTTCGTATGATCAAAGCCAAATCACTAAATTCAAATGGAAGGTTTTGACAGTGTTTTTGGTTCATTTTCAAAACTTTTAATGTCTCTGTTGCTGTCTATGGAGCATCAGACAGCTCATTTGAAACACCTTGGTTTGTCTTCCAACCCAGCAGGCGCACAGCATCATAAGACGTTGATTTTAGGCTAGATTTAGGTTGTGATGTCAGGAGACCAAAATTCAATGTCTAGCCAGCGTCTAAGGACAGCATTATTTTGACGTTCAATAGCGATGTTAAATGACGTTGATATTTGGTTGATTTTAGGTTGTGTTGGAAAGTGACCAGAATTCAACATCAAGCCTTGTCAACGTTACAACATCTTAAAGCACTGTCATATTGACGTTAAATACTGACATTTATTTGTCAGGTATGGCAACCAAAATTCAATTTCTGATAGACGTTATTGTTGTAACATCCACACAATGTCAAGCTGTAACATCATTAGACAGTGATACTTAGTTGTTTTTAGGTGGAAAGTGACCAATGCAGAGTGAGTTATTAATAACAGAATTTTCAATTTGTGTTGTCTAACCCTTTAAGTAACAAAAGTGACTATTTCTGAGAGAGGTCAACCATTATTTGTGTGATTTAAATATTTCATCTTGGCAATGAAACTCAAATTAAGCCATTTACAGTAAACCAGCAATGTGTTTACCACACAGATTGACCGTCCTGTCCTTCAGTCTGTTCTACTCTGATCATCTGATCTAATCTGAATGTGAACACACATCGCATAAGCCCTGACCTGGACACATGGGGCAGCAGCTGCCCTCCACAGTGAGCGGCTGATGGCAGGGTAAAGCAGGACAGCTGACGGTGGAGCACAGAGTCTGGCCTTGCAGGCAGTAGCAGTGAGTGCAGCTGTCAATGTCCCATCGCTCCTCGTCCATGTACGTCTTCCCGTTGAAATGACACACAGCCCTCGGCGTAGCATCTGGTAAGGAGGTAGGAGAAACACTCGGTCAGTCGGACCTATCAGTAAACCCCACCCCTAAAAGGGAGATGAGCCAATGGCAAAGGAGTATTATTTGCAAGGGGATTTTAGTGCCATAGTGAAACATTCGAAGATTGGTTTGATAGGGGTTTAATCTCAAAAAGTGTTACTCAACCACTACCTGGAAGACCACCAACACTGCATATTCTGTATGTCTCCTTTTCTTTCACTCCCATTACGGGTGTTTTAGTCTCTGTTAATCAGCTGATGAACTGAATCAGGTGTGTTTGCTTAAGGAGACATGGAAATGTGCAAAGCTGGTGGTCCTCCAGGAGCGTGGTTGAGAAACACTGCACAAAAATTTTTAAACAATATACCTAGGGTACTTATAACCCTAATTTCTGGTCTCCTGAGAGGATGGGAAATAGTTAATTTTATTTTTTATTAACCAAGTCAAATGAGACTATTTAAGACCTCTAAGAGAAGATTATTAAACCATATTGGTAAAGATAATTAATGAATAAAACTTTTGTAAAATTTTTTTTTTTTTTAAGATTTATTGCTGGTGATTGGATGGGTTTTGGCCCTATTGGGTAGCTTTACATGGACAATGGAAAATGATGATCAGTTTAAAATTATTATTAAGTTCTACAAAAATATACTTTACCAGTGAATTTAAGAATTTTTAAGGCCTAAAATAATTTATTTTTTTTAAATTTAAGACATTTTAAGACTTTTTTAGACCCAGTAGACACCCTGATTATTTAACAACAGTATATGTATGTATTCAACTCTGCTAACGTCAATGTTGTATGTAACTGTTATGTCTTAAAGAAATTTGTGACCATAACAACCATACTCTGACACTTTTCTTGCTTGCATTGTGATCTGTAATCTCTTGCTTTGAAGTTAATCTTGTTAACCGCAGTATTTATTTTAAAGATGCCATAGAATGCTTGTTGAAAAACTGAAGAGCTGGAGAAATGTTGTATTTTAGCTAGGAGGAGTGAGCTCTCATTATGCCACCAGAGTGACCTATAGGCTACAATATATATAAATATATATATTTAGATGAAGTCAAAATTATTAGCACCCTTTTGAATATTTTTCTCTTTTTTAAATATTTCCCAAATTATGTTTAACAGAGCAAAGAAATGTTCACAGTATGTCTGATAATATTTTTTTCTTCTGGAGAAAGTCTTATTTGTTTTATTTCGACTAGAATAAAAGCATTTTTTTTTATTTTCTAACACCATTTTAAGGACAACATTATTAGCCCCTTTAAGATTTTTTTTTTCGATAGTCTACAGAACAAACCATCCTTATACAATAGTTTGCCTAATTACCCTAGCCTGTCTAGTTAATCTAATTAACCTAGTTGAGCCTTTAAATGTCACTTTAAGCTGTATAGAAGTGTCTTGAATAATATCTAGTCAAATATTATTTACCGTCATCATGGCAAAGATAAAATAAATCAGTTATTTGAGATGAGGTATTAAAACTATTATGTTTAGAAATGTGTTGAAAAAAATCTTCTCTCCTTTATACATATATATGAAAACACAAGCAGGAACCAATATCAACCTCTGTCTAAACAAATCAGTTATGTACATAAGTTTAGTGTTGTTTTTTCACTCTGGAAAAAAATCATAGTAACAGCTGAATGATATGACACGATACATAAATGTGCATTAAACATTTAATGTTCAGCAATTTGCATGTGCTTGTTACTTCATTACAAAAATATGCAGCAAATTTCCCAATGTACACATTAAACTAACATAAGATACAAATAAACAGACCTTATGCTTCTTTGGGGTGGCGCTGAATAAACTTATTATCCATATATCTTGCGTTGTACATATATATTGTTGTAATCTCAATAGAAAACATTGTGGCCAATCAAATTCTACGTATGGTGTGCATGCTAATAATCCTGTGTGATTCATCAGTCTGTGTTTTGTTCTGACTGACTTGTTTTTCACCAGGATTTTATACTCACAGGATTTACATGAGATTGGGGAAACAATGGTGTTTGAGGCCCACTGTATGTCATTTCCATGTAGTGAACTCTTATTATTCAGCTATGTCTAGGTATTTTCAAACGATCATTCTATGGCTCTATTAAAATCTTTGATACTGTATATCCCTCAAAGTTCCCATTAATGCTCCTCGTCATCCTTTTGTTTTCAAAATTGTATTAAAACCATTCTAAGACAAAGCTTTCATACTGATAGCTGACATTTTAAGACAGATACTAAATGAGTGGGGCTTATCGACGGGCCAATTGGGTTGTCTGATCTGGGGGACAGATTTACATACCTAGACAGTACGGGCAGCATTGGCCCTTTCTGAGCACGGGTCGGGCACAGTTGACTGGTGGGCAAGACTCAGAGAAGCAGCTGATGGCTCCGTCTAGACACACACAGCTAGAGCAGACGTTGGGCTTCCAGGACTCAGCCGCCAGGAAGATATCACCATCCTCATTTCTGCAGTAGCTGGGCATGCTGTCATTACTGGGTGTCTGAGGTGTGACTGGATCATCTGGAGAAAGAAAGACATACATCAGCTTTTATTTACTTTTTTAAAATCTATTTTATTAATTTAAAGTTCTTAAAGGTCCCATGAAATAATAATAAAATTTTTTTTTAGATGTTAGCATCAGTATTGTTAGTTTTTAGAATATCTATAAGCTACTGCACACCACAACAGTGACAACATTTGCATTTAGGAGATATAAAACTGATATAAACATGTAAAGCTTGTAGTCACTTCAGCCTAAATGGATCAACAGTTATATTAACATAACCTCATACTTGAGTTTCTCATCAAATCGTGACCAATCAAACTCTCTAGTACCTGACATGCCCCGCCCCCTTCAAGACGTTTTACATTTGATGTGCTTGATCTCAAGCACTCTCACTGGCAGAACTGTGATGAAAACGAAACGCTATTGGCTGTTTTTAAAAAGGGGAGGAGCTACTTTAAGATGTTACATCAAATATTGATTAAAATGCATATTTCAAAGCCCTCAATAACACCTTAATAAAAATAATTCACCAAAAAGATAATTCTGGAACATTGGGTTGGTTAGTTAGTTAGTTATTTAATTTATTTATTTAGTTTATTTGTTTATTTATTTATTTTTTTATAATTTTATTTATTTATTTGTTGTTTATTGATTTAGTTTGTTTATTTTATTAATTTTATTAATTAATTAATTTATTTAATTATTTTTATTATATTATTTTGTTTATTTCATTTATTTATTTATTTTATTTATTTGTTTATTCATTTATTTTTTTTACAATTTTTACTTTAGTTATATATTTAATACTTATTTATTATTATTTAATATAATTTTTAAATTTAATATAATTTTATTATTTAATTAAATTTAATTAATTAATTTATTATTATTAATTTTCTTATTTATTAATTAATTTATTTTTATCTAATAATTTATTTATTTATTTATTTTGGTGAACACAAAAGATGATATTTTAAAGGATGTGACTGATTAAGCAATTGCTGGTTCTTGTTGACTTTCAAATTATGGAGAATAAAACAAATACTATGGAAGTTATGGGGACCCAGATGAAGAATTGTTAAAATATAATCGGTGTTGAGCAGAAGACAGAAATTCTTAGAGACTTAGAGCAACTTGAGGTTTAGAAAATGATGACAGAATTGTAATTTTTGAACTACCCCTTTTAAAAACAGTAAAACAGTGAAAAAGTTGAACTTCCAAAAAAACCTACTTTGACTAAAACACATAACTCAAGCTCAAACAGTCCGAGTTTGAAACAAATCTACATCTCTCCGTCGTTTCATTTACAAACTTGAAAATGATTTCAGGATTGTTGGGAACATTTTCAACAGCAAAAGAAAGTTTGCTGTAACATCCTCTGAAATGTGCATCCATTGTGTTTCCTTTGTCATCTTCAGCTCCGAGTGTTGATCATGCACTCCTGAGTCATGCAGTATTCATCATTTCCACCAAACGCATGCATTATGCACAGTCACTTTTAGTTAACTTTACTCCCTTCATAGGTGTCTCATGCCACTATGCTCCAAAAGTTCTCACAGTAATGTATCTTTTAAATAAATAAAGCTTTTGCAGCTCCCTTGATTCTCCTTGTACAACATCCAAATATCACAGCTACTTTCCGTGACCTCTTTTTGTCAGCTTTGAAACTGCAAGGTCCCCTGAAGTACCTTGAACTGCGAAACTTTGTTTAGATCTGCAATGTAATTTCAACCGAAGCATAAAGAGAAGGTGGGAGATATCAAGAAGCTCCTCCCCTCTTTTTTTTAAAACAGCCAAGGCGTTGCCGAATTGCATTGGGGATCAGTCGGCGCTGCTTCAGTGGCGTCGCTCGCTACAGAAGTTGGGACTTTCTCAACTTTTCAAGCGTCGACGGAAGAGTCCGCTGATCAGGTCATTGATAGGGTGTTCTAAGTGGTTGCTAAGGTGTTGCTAGGGTGTTCTGAGTCGTTGCTAAGGCTATGCTAGGTGGTTGCTTGGGTGTTGCTAGGTAGTTGCTAAGGTGTTCTAAGTAGTTGCTAGGCAGTTACTTACATGTACATTACATTAATTCATCTAGAATGAATTAGTATGTTGCTAGCACAAATTAGCATGTTATTAGCATGAGTTTAGTATAAATTCGCAAGTTGGTAGCTTGTTTTTAAGAAAATTTAATTTAGTATGAATTAGCGGGTTGCTTGTACATTTATACTAAGAAATAGCATTGAGTTAGCTTGTATGATTAGTATGTTTGTTAGGATGTTTTTGGTATGGATTGGTATGTCGTTAGTATGGATTAGTATGTTGTTAGTATGTCCAATGTAAAATTAAAGGTAGTTTTCTTTTTACAATGGAAGGCTATAGGACAGTTGCTAGGGTGCCGTAAGTGGTTGCTAGGGCGTGGCTAGTAAGTAGAAAGGTTATGAGTGATTGGCCGATTGGTAGTCTCAGTTAAATTAACTCAAACTTAAGCCTGTATGACAGTCTGGTGCAAAGTTATGAGGTCACAAAGTTAGGTCCAATGTTAAGTCAATGGGACTTTTCCAAACTTTCTGGGTCAGTTTTCGGAAAACCGAAAGTGGGATTAGTTGCAAAGGATATAGAAACTTAATTCAGTATAGTCTGGAGGTTTAAAGTTAGTTTGGTGGTTGTAGTATGAACAATCTCGGAGGAGATGCGTTCTTAAAATAGTCAAAGAAGAAGAAGGAGCATAGTGTGTTTCCTTTCTCAAGCCACCTTAACAAGACTTCATTTACACCAATGATAAGAATTTACACCATCTGAATAATTTATTATGTACAGTATACAGTAGTGCATTTAGTTCCATTGACCGTGTGTATTTGGATGGTGTACTGGTTCCTCCATTCATTCTTATTAATAATAATAAAAATGAGTAGTTTTGATTAATTTAAGACGGCTGTTTGATTAACTCACAAGTTTATTAACTTAATGTAATAGTTATTACAAATTTAGGTGGATTGAATATAAAACAACTGTCCCCCGAAAAACTAAGAATTGTGTTGTATCATTTCACTTTAAATCAGTAGTTTGAATAAGCAACAAAAGTCATCATTCTAAGTGTTGTTCTACATTTAGATTTACTTTTAGAGCTCAATCTTTATATTTATCTTTATAGTTGCCACGCGTGGTATGAACAACCCTTTATAGATGACTTTAACACCAACATATTTATAATCACACCCTAAAAATTGTCAGTTTGATTTGAGGGAGAATAGATGTTTTGGTTGACAGCTCACCTGGACAGTGTGGGCAGCAGGAGTCCTGTGTTCTGATTGGGCTGTGGCAGAGAAGAGGCGGGCAAACCTCGGTCTCACACAGCACTCGGCCGCTGTGGCAGGTGCACTGAGTGCAGGAGTCGATGTTCCACGTCTCTCCCTCAACAAAATACTCTCCGCCTGGAGCCAAACACACTGACGCCTCACTCAGCTCGGGTTTATGGGAACTGGACTCTTCTGGGAGAGATAATCAGAGTTTTACTTATCAATGCTTTAAAGAGATCAAACTGTAAAAACAATGGCAGTCAATAACTGAAGTGTTTTTAAGAATCTTCTGTTTACAGCAATGTAACATTTATTTGAAATTTAAAAATTCTAAATATATACAGTTAAAGTCTGAATTATGAGCCACCGTTTATTTTTTTCCCCAATTTCTGTTTAACCTTAGAGAAGATTTTTTCAACACATTTGTAAACATAATAGTTTTAATAACTTATTTCTAATAACTGATTTATTTTATCTTTGCTATGATGACTGTAAATAATATTTTACTTGATATTTTTCAAGACACTTTTATACAGCTTAAAGTGACATTTAAAGGCTTAACTAGGTTAATTAGGTTAACTAGGCAGGTTAGAGTAATTAGGCAAGTTGTTGTTTAACAATGGTTTGTTCTGTAGATTATTGAAAAATATAGCTTAAAGGGGCTAATAATATTGACCTTAAAATGGTTTAAAAAAATTAAAAACTGCTTTTATTCTAGCCAAAATAAAACAAATAAGACTTTCTCCAGAAGAAGAAATATTATCAGACATACTGTGAAAATTTCCCTGCTCTGTTAAACTTCATTTGGGAAATATTTAAACAAGAAAAAAACATTTCTATTGGGCGCTAATAATTCTGACTGTATGTGTGTGTGTATAAAATATAACCTACTCTTATGATGGCAAAGCAGTTTTTATTTCCATTCAGGTTATTTTCTAAAATGCTCTCTAACTGTTTAATTATTAAAAGTTTTTATTGGTGCTCAGTTGCTATTATCATTGATTACTAGTATCAAAGTAAACAGGTCTTGCTTTGCTCTGAACAGGATTTATTTCTAATATAAATCTTGTGTACGATTAAATCATTTTAATGCATCCTTGTTGAATTAAAAATGTACTAATTTCTTAAAAAACAAAACAAAAACACAAAACCAGTAGTGGATTGTCAAGGGTTATTTTTTGTATCATTGATATTGTTTTAGTTTAATATAGTTAATGTTTTTTTTATTTGTGTGATATTAGTTTAAATTGTTCTGTTTCTACAGAGAACAAGTTTCTCGGTTTTTACAATTATTAATATATTAAGCGACATTAACTTGCTTTAACACATGTTAAATGTTAATTGAATTGAATTAATCTTTAATATTCACAATTTTTCGCGGGTTTTGTGGCACTGCAGACTTAGAACAATTCAGTTTTGCCATCACAAGCATACATTAAACTATATCTGTACAGAAAATGTTATTTTAAAGTGTAATATTCTTTCACAATAAAACCATTTTAGCACATTTTTAATCAATAAATTGCAGCCTTGCTTCATATCTAAAGTGTCAAGGAGTATGAATAGCTATAGTTTTTAGTTCCAAGAGTTTTTGGAACTGGAAGCCATTGACTTCCACAGTATCTGTAGTTTTTGTTTATTTTTTACCATAGATGTCAATGACTTCTGCTTTGTTTTTTTTTATATCTTCATATTCAACACAATAAAGAATCTCATAAAGGTCTGGAACCACTTGAGGGTGTGAAAACAATGAGTAAAATTGAATGTTTGAGTAAACTATCTCTTTAAGAAACTTTGCCTGCCAGTGAGTAAATATGCTGCACTGAATCACCTGGGCATGTGGGGCAACAGTGTCCGGGGCGGATGGTAGGATTATCACAGGGTGGCACTGGGCAAGAAATAAGCGCACACATTTCTCTTCCAGCATGGCAGTAACAGTCCCTGCATCCGTCGTGCCAGCTCTGCCCATTCTCATGCCTGCGGCCGTCCATAGACAGACAAGAGCCCAGCTTCACTGCTGGAGTCACAGACGACGAGCTCTGATCTGCACAGACAAACAAACAACAGACAGATCAGATCACTTTCTGCCATTACAGCACTAAAATAACACTGCGGTACAACCATGATCATTACTTTCAACAAACCAGTACAAGCTCATCATATCCATGGTACTCTTAACTTGATTGATTTATTTGTATTTAAAATGATTTTTTGAACATTTAATACATAATTAGAAACCAAACAGAATGGTAACACTTTTGTGTAAGCACCAATAGTCACTATTAACATAGGCGTATTACCTGCTTATAGGATATTGACTGTTTATTAGTATTATTAGTACTCAGTGTACTAATACAGTTCAAAGTTCTCAATACAGTTTAAAGTACATATTCTGCATTATCTTAATCTGCTTCCTAATACTACATAATACCTAAATCCAACTACTACTTTTATAACTATTAATAAGCAGTAAATTAGCAGTTTATAGAGGCAAAAGTCATATTTAATGGCGTATTAAAAGTGAGAACCTTAAAATAGTGTGACCAATAAACAACTAGTAATATGTATTACTATTAATAATAATAATAATAATAATAATAACAATAATAATAATATCTACTCACCAAGAAATTTACACGCAATTTATCCATACACTTTATATTTATTTATTTACTCATTCAAACATTCATTCATTTTTTGTGCATTAGCACTAGGGCTATATGACATCTTTTATTCAGAGAAAAGATAACTTCCTTTTATACTGACATAAAAAAGGGACAGAATATGGTTAATTTGATGTTTTCTTAGCATTAAGAAAAAGTTTTCTACCTTGATTTGAATATTTTTTGTACTCATTTGGAATTTTTGTTTATTTTTTGGCTTTTTCCCCTCAAAATAAATGTCTTGCATGCAATATCCCAAAATGTGATTACAAATATGTTAAATGGAAATACAGCTAAAGTATGATCGGACTACACTGTGACCACTAAAATTCAACGAACATTCAAAGAAAACACTGCACAAAAGGCACTTTTGCTGCTGTATAAACACGTATTGTTTGATTTAATTACGTTAGATTTTTGACAAATGTTAGACAAATTGTTTGACAAACTTTTTTTTTGTACAAGATGCATGTGGAAGCTGAAGAAATAAGATTTCCGTTAATGTATACTTTTTAGTATAGGACAATATTTGATCGAAATACAACTATTTGAATATCTGGAATCTGAGGGTTCACAAAAATCTAAATCCTGAGAAAAACACATTTAAAGTTGTCAAAATTAAGTTCTCAGCAATGCATAATAGTTTTAACACTTTTACAGAAAAGAATTAGTAAAATATCTTGAAGAAACCTGGTCTTTACCTAATATTAATGATGTTTGGCATAAAAGCAAAATGTATCATTTTGACACATACATTACATTTTTTGTTATTTTAACTAGTTTTGTCATCAGTTTTGCCAACTTAGCGACATTTTGGACCCCCCTAGCGGCAAAAAAAAAAGCGACTAGCAACAAATCTAGCAACTTTTTTGGTGTTACTAGACATTTTTTTAATAGATTCTCATCTGTCTGTACTGTACCATCTCTACTCTTCTCAATGAGCTGCGAGTGATGCTGTCGGCCCCTGCCACACCTCAGAGTCTTCACAGTCGGCCAAGTACCACACAGTCGTCTCTTACACCTGCATCCTAAAAGCACATTAACTCTCTGCGTACCAACGTAAAATTATTTAGCACCGCGAGTGTGAGGTATTTCCCTTGTACATTCTAGCACAGGGGTGTCAAGCGTGAGACCGGCAGGCCGGATCAGGCCTGCAAACAGGTTTAATCCGGCCCGCGAGATGATTCTGTAAAGTATAAAAACGCAAGAAAAATGCAATTTTTTTATTAAAAGAAGCTGCTGTTTCAATTGTGTCCACTAGATGGCACAACTTCAAACGGTTAATTTCAGTTAAGTATGTATATTTTTGAAAAGTAGATATTTAATATTAGATATTCAGTAAGTTCAGCTTAAAGCAGAAACTGCTCTTCTGCAGTCTCCCTGTGGACCTGTAGTTTTCTTTGAATCTTGAATCTCTTAAAAAAATCAATAAAATAAGTAATAATAATAATAATTATAATAATAACAATAATAGTAATAGGTGACGCAGTGGCACAGTAGTTTTATTTTAAATATAATTAAATTTAAATAAAATTATATATTTTTTCATTAAAATGCTGATTATATAAAATAATAGAAGGCACAACAAATGTATAATATATATATATATATATATATATATATATATATATATATATATATATATATATGGTCAAATATGATACATATATTTATAATAAATAAAGGTATAAATGAGCATTTCATACAAATATTTATGAAAAAAGATATTTTTCAGGTGGACCTACATAAAATTGAAAAGAGAAAGCAGTGGGCCCAAAGTAAAAAAGGTTGAGAATCCCTGTGATAAAGAATCCTGAATCATTTTTACAGCTTTCCCAGAAAGAAAGATCACATCTATGCCCTGCCATACCACACTGAGATGTTCTCACAAGGAAATTTCACATTTTGTCAGTTTTGGGGCTAATTCGTACAAGTTCAGTCGTATGAAAATTTACGATATAAAAAAGAGGCTTGACACCCACACCCCCAAACCCAACTATCATTGATGGACAAGCAAATCGTACTAAATTGTAAGAATAAGATTGTATAAATCCATATGAATAAGCAACTAAATCAAAAAGTTAAACATTTCTGTGAGATTGTGTTGTCCTCACGCTCCAGCTTTATGTTTTATGTTGATCAAAAAAAAAAACAAAGAAAACAATCTGAAGTTGTTGTTTTTAAGTTATATATATTAAGTTATTTTTAAGTCCAGCCCGCTTATGAATAGATTTTCCTCCAAGTGGCCGCTGAGCTAAAATGAGTTTGACACCCCTGGTCTAGCCGATCTGCTTCTCTTTCCTGTTAAATTTAACAATTTAATTTGACCATTTACTCTTTTCTTGGTCATAATTACAGAGATTTAGTGACAGTTTCTGAATATGTGGGATTTTATTATGTCAGAGAGATTGCTACAAATTCATTATACATTTATACGGATATACTGTGTTCAAACTAAAATTAATTGAATTAAATTGACATGCATATATAAAGCATAGTGCAAATATAAATACCTTTACTAACACTTTCTTAACCATAGGTTGTTAAACAAACTGAAACTGCTGGATGTGATGACTTCAGTAATATGCAAACTGATGTATCTAACGACATTTAGTGACTTTTCGAGCAGAGCTTAGCGCCTTTTTATTGAAAACAGTTGGCAACACTGTTTGTGGTCCAGTGTCACATAATGCTCATCAACTAATGGTCCTAAATCAAAACAGTTTAAGAAATTCTGCTCCTGCATTAAAACCGCATTCCATATCAAGCGCATTTGGTTGAAATTTAATTCCGGACACAGAGCAGATGTTTGTTTAGAGTCAAGTCTCGATGGATTCTTCGGCATACTAATAGCCAAGCGGGAAAGCCAGAGGATTCCCCGAATCATTTTTTACATTTATATTCCAGACATCTGACCTCTTCAGTAAAACATTTTCACCGGCTGCTACACATGCAGCGTGAAATGACAAAATATGCAAGTTGATGCGGCGCACGCTCCAAACCCCAGAGCACAAAACATTCTCAAATCTCATCTATCTGCCAAGAGCGTCACCTCTCACTGCCTCTCCATGGCTCCAGCCAGGCCCCAGTCAATATCACACAACCATTTCACATTGATTAAAACCCTGTCTGGCTGATACGCCGAGGATGCACACTTTCAAACAAATTCAACGTGAGGAAGATTAAAAAAGGGGTCTTTTTCTTCACTCTCCCTTCTTATTAAACGGACCGAGCTTGTGAATATTTCACGTGCCAGCTTCATTATTGAAGATGAATCAAACGGGAACACAAGAGCCGCATGAATAATGGAGGGGTGTGAGTAACCGTGCGCCTGGCTTTTGTATATACAACAGGTGGTCTTCAAAATAAATGGGAAATCTGGGGAGGCAGGGGGGAATGAGTCATGCTGGAGACCCTTGCTCTCGGTTTTCTCTGTGTGCACATGGCTGACACTTGGAAATTAAAGGAATAACACCTCAGCATATCGATTCCGCTGGATGGGGCCAATATAGCACTATAGATCAAGGGGGAAAATAAGTTTTAGGTTATATTACTTACATTTTATTTGGATTTATTTCCTGAATGGATTCTGAACCATGTGAACTGTTTATATGAAGTACATTAAGTGAAGTTTATTTATAAAGAAATCTCAAGAGGATCACGTACCCATGATTGTCCATGTCTGGTCCCACGTTAGCTTATGATTGACTTACCATTCCGATGATTCCTTAACTCACTTTAAATAATCAGAGTTTTGTATCTCAGTATCTTCATCTTGAAGAATGCCCCCCAACCACCCCTACTCCCCCACCTTTCTAGATGGGCGACACGGCGGTCCATTGATTAGCACTGTTGCCTCACAGCAAGAATGTCTCTGGTTAAAGTCCCTATTAAACTAGTTAATATTTCTGTGTGGAGTTTGCTCGTTCTCTCCGTGCTCACGTGGGTTTTCTCTGGGTTGTCCAGTTTCCTTCCACAGTCCAAAAAACACGCAATCTAAGTAAATTAAACATACCAAATTGGTATCATAGTCAAGCTATTAGAAAGCCGTATATCTCTCCTTAGCATCCCTATATCTGTCATAAGTCAGAAATAAGTTGGGGGAGTTCATCAAGATCTACCTGACATTCGTGTTATATCACAAATTTAACCTCTTCCAAAAAGAAAAACCTTTAACAGTCAAGAATGATCGGTTACGTGCTGTCAAGGCAATGTCGTTCTAATGAAAGTCAATGGGGCAAAAACAGGCACTAACATAACGAAAGGGTAGTAAATTTGCTTAAAGTGTATTGTTGAGTTTTTAAAAAAATTCCAAAGGATTTTCATAAAATATGTGTCAAAATAAGATTTTTCACCAAAAATCATTCCATTTGCTGAAACACAAAGACAGTTGTGGCCAAATTATGCCTCAAAATCTCCCCAGAGTGGATGAAAACATCTCCAACAGCACACAAGAGTTAGGATAGAAAATGAAAAGATATTTCTTATTTTAAGATATTTTAAAATAAAATGTTACTATATTGCACCTACATTTGAAAATTGGTCTGTCACTTCCAATTACTTTTAAAAATGTTCTGTCTTTCATTTTATTATAGTCTTTTTTTTGCTGTCATTGCCCTTGCTCATTACTGTTCAAATTGCATCAAATATATAAAAGATACGTAAGATTTAAAACTCAGATAAATTTATTTACATTTATTACTAATTACGAAACGTAGTAGTCATTCTGTAGTCTGACCAAATCAAATAAAATACTTAACAAATGAATAAATATAGACTTACCTCTACACTGACAAATCAGACAGCCCAATTCATCATGCTGGAATCCCATTGGACAGGCCTTGTCACATGGCAACTCAGGGCATTTTTTACAACGGCAGGTATCACATCCATGCTTGTTCTTACTGATAAGAGAAAACGAGAAAGATGAAGAAAGCTTTAGAGGCATATTGTAGTAAATCATAAATTAAACAAATAATTATATATATATATATATATATATATATATATATATATATATATATATATATATATATATATATATATATATATATATATATATATATATATTAGTGTATACATAGAATAATTAGATCATGGTTGACTGTGTTTACCATATTTCTGTTTATAGCATAGGTCTCAAACTGGATTCCTGGAGGGCCACAGCTCTGCACAGTTTTGCTCCAACCCTAATCAAACACAGCTGATCCAACTAATCAAGGTGTTCAAGACTACTAGACTATTAAGCAAGGTGTGAGCTGGAGCTGGTTAGAGCTAAACTATGCAGAGCTGCGGCCCTCCAAGAATTGAGATTAAGACCATTGGTTGATAGATTGCTGGATCCACACCGATAGGTGTCAGTATTGGTTCAAAAACTTTTTCTCCGCCAACGTTTTTTATTTTTGCCAGCCACCGCCCACATTTTTGATGATTTTCACTTAAATTTGATAGCCCTCAGAATATTTTCTGCTTGGAACATATATGATCATGTTTGCATTTCAAAATTAAGAGTCTCTGCTTTTAAACTAACACACAAAAACAAAACATTTTATTCTATATTCATGGGAATTTGATAGGGCACTTGAATGCAGATAAGTTTGAATCAGTTTTTAGATAGGTTTAATCAAAACTGCAACATTTTACACAAAAAAGTAATCCGTACTTATTTTTTTTAAGATTTCAATTCTATTCAAGTATATTTGTATAACCGTTTTTTTTTTTTTTTTTTTTTTTACAAATGAACTTTTTAAAAAATAACTAGTTACTAATAACTTCATCAGTTATTATCAGACCCCCTAGTTTTTTGTAATTCCACGATCGCTGAATCCAACACAAAATCAACAAAAAGTTGACATTTTTTGTGATCCTGCAAAATTCCTAATTAAATGTAAAATAATCACAAAAAAATTAAATATTCTCATAAACATCCAATTCCAAGCCAGGCTGTAACTATTGTGTTCACCAAATCATTAAATGATTTTGTTTAACTCTTTCCGTGCAGTTAACAAGAGAAAACTAAAACACTTCCCTGCAATGAGCTTTACGGCAATCCATGTTTTAGGTGTATTATGGTAGGGAAAGCCTTAACACACTTTATGAGTGAGGTACATGTCAGATGCTCTGGAGAGCGAAATCTAAGAGACATAAAAAGTAAGTTCGTCCATACAAATTATACAGCCTTCCTTTGGAATAATCGCTACCGTTTTAGATCTGTTTTCGGTCTTGCCTCGACAAGAGACCAAAATAAAGAATCTTTATTTTTCTGATTTGATTATATATATATATATATATATATATATATATATATATATATATATATATATATATATATATATATATATATACATTTTAATCACAAAATTGTCTGCAAATTTCTGGGAATTACTACCACAAAAAAAAAATGTGTGTGTGTGTATGTGTGTGTGTGTATATATATATAATGTAGGTAACCTGCGGTTCAATAGAATTCAGTGGTGCCTCGCTATAACGTAGTTCACTTTTTGCGGTCTCGCAGTTTTGGCAATTTTTTTATGTAACTTGACATGTTTTTTTTCTACAGCGTATTGTGTTTTGCGCCCTGATTAGTGCATTGTGTTCTGCGTCCTGACTGGCTCTAGACCACTGTCAATCAATCTCCTCCATGCCGTGTCTCCAGTACAGTACAGAATGCATCCAGCTTGCCAGATTTACATAAATCTTTGATCGCTAGCAGTGTGACTCTGAAGTGCTGCACTGTTTGTTTGCAAATTTTCTCCCCAGAATGTTGACGAAACGTTCTGCATTGTCAAAGGCACCTGCAGGCGGAAGCACACAAAAGGGAGAGGAAGATACTAACCTTCACAACAAAAAGTTGAACTTCTGAACATGCTAATACTGTATGAAGGTAAAAGTTATAAAGCTGTAGGGTGCCATTACGGAATAAATAAATGAAGATCAAATGTTTTTGATCTTTGGTTTCATTATATAAAACTGGACTGATTTTTCTAAGAAGGTTTGAACTTTGAGAGTGTTTAAGCAAGAGAGAAAAGTGTGAAAATGTTAATGCCTGTCTGAGAAAAAAAATGTTTAAAGTGTGCAGTGAGGGGTTTTATAGACTATCCTTTATTTTTTTAGACTATCTCTACTTTATTATATCTATAATAATTGTAAAAAATAAAGCTGACTACTTTGCGGATAACGAGGGACCACTGTATAGGTGATACCTATGTGTAGATGTGTCTATGTGTAGGAGTAGTCTAATGCCAACTTGTATAATGATAACTATAACTTCTATAGCTATAATTATACATTTTACATATGATTTGATGTACACTTTCTCTGCACCTATCTTATATTTCGGTCCCAGAAGTCTCATTCAAGACATTCTCTAGGGCTTCCCTTACTGTGATACACCTAAAACATGGACTGTTGTAAAAACTCGTCAATGGCAAGAAAGTATCATCTCTTAATTGATGAGATATTATGTCAAGGGTGAGGAAAGAGTTAAGACTTCTTAAACAGTCAGTACACAACTTGTCTTTGGCACATCAAATCTTGGCATAATACAGCAGGTGCCAAAGACATGGTCCAATGTCATCTGTTAACACCAGAGAAGGAGAGAAAGGAAACAGAGAGAGAGAGAGACCTTTGTTGACCTTACTTCGAGTCCTGTCAGCAGATGGCACATTAAAGAGGACTAACCAAAACGACCAATCAAAATGCTCCCCGATGGCTAAAGCACCTTCCTTAACCTGGACCCCAACTGCCCATCTCATCCACACACACATGCTTGTCGCCATCCTTCATCCCCCTATCTGCTCTCATCGAATGAATAATAGGGCTGAGAAGCAGCCATGTGCAGTGCGTATTTGGTTTGGTGATAAGAAGCTATCAGGTATGATGTCAGCGGTGGGGAATATCAATATTCTTTGTGCAAGAGGAGGGAGTCTGCGCTAAGCTGCATGCATTATTCAGGCCGCGAGCTTGATCCTCGGCCATAACTTTGAGGGGGCAAAAATAGATATCTAAAATTAGAATCTGAGATGCAAGCATTTGCACTTGTGTGCTCATTCATGATGGCAGGATTGAGGAGGGGAAAGGACAACGCTGGGCCAGGGGCCGAACTCTGATAAATAAAGACTCTTTATTCAACCACACCTGAGGGAGTGACTCTCTGATAGGAGACTATGGAGATAGAAGATAGGTCAACACTACTGCTTTATTCCCTGCACTTGTCATAGCAAGCTTTGTTATGTTTTAAAGAAACAGTAGAACTCATAACTATTGCTTTAAAGATGAGGTGAGGCGCTCTGTTCCTGTAGAGCCACTGTTCTGCAGAGTTCAGCCAAAGAGCTTAGAATGACCAAAAGCCGATACTCTGGTGTAATTTGGAAAACAGCCACTAGAGGGAAGTAGGCAGCCATTTTGGAATGAAAACTCCAATAGAACAACATGTATATCATAAGTCTGTAAAATAAACTAATAAAAGTGCTGATGTTCTTGATAATACGTGTTGTATTGTTGTCTTTCAGGTTGTATCTAAACTTTAATGTGCTTTTTGAATAAATAAATAAAAAACAAAGCAGCTGCTTGCCATCGCGACAGTAATGAGATCCAATGGACGGCCGATCACTTTCACTTCAAAATGGCGGAATCCGGGGCTGTTGCTGGGCGCTGCTGTTGCAATAGAACGTTCTATTGAGTGTCACCTCTTGGTCATTCTAAGCTCTTTGGTTCAGCTACTAGTGATGCGAGGATGGCGGTTATATCCCCGGGCGCTGTGGATAGTCTGCGGGTCAGGCAGGTTGGGTAATAAAAAAATACCTTATGATTAAATTCCGGGTGGATGTAGCAGGACATGGCAGTGGACCAGTGAAAAAATAGAGAGTCAGCTTTGCAGAATGGGAAGATGAGGCGCCCAAAATAATGGATAAAGTGCAAGAGTACTGTTCATTTAGAGGAGTCATCAGAGGAAAATCTGCTATTTTTCTGGGAGAAAAAAGATTGCTTATTTCTACAACTGCATCAGCTTGCGAGGAGAATCTTGTTCATTCCTACAACAATTGGTGTGAGCAAACGCTCATTCAGTGCAGTTGGCCGCGTTTTGGAGTAGAGGTGAAATCGCTTGAATTTAGGCACAGTAGATGCTATTTTGTTTTTGCACATGTAACAGAGGCCAGGTAGTAAGTGCTGTGCAGGTAAACCTCACTCTTCTGGTGCCTCATGTATCAACCAGTGGCGTAGCGCAAAATGCGGAGGCACCCCTGCAGGGATCACTGGTGGGGCCCCCTGATGATGATTTGGGGGTCACAAATTGAGGAGCGGGGAAGGGAGGCGGGGTGGAGCGACCATGCGGGGAAGTCTTCACAAACTGAGGAACGATCACAAACTTAGGAGCGATCACAAACTAAGAAGGGGGAAAGGGGGGGGGGTGGAGCGACAACGCAAGGAAGCCTTCACAAACTGAGGAGCGATCACAAACTTAGGAGCGATCACAAACTAAGAAGGGGGAAAGGGGGGCGGGGTGGAGCGACAACGCGAGGAAGCCTTCACAAACTGAGGAGTGATCACAAACCGAAAGCGACGAGAGCGTCAAAGTAGCCAGAAGTCATTAATTTCAATGAGAACAGGCGGCGAGAAACAGCACGGCGCGCCTTCTCCGGTGTGAGCATTGAGGAGAGTTGATATCAAGTCAACTTTATGGTATGAGCTATGACGTGGTTCGGCAAGCAATCAGAATGAAGTAGTCTACCGCTTGAGAGGTGTTCAGAGAACACAGACTTGTGAACTTTGGTTTCGACCACAGTTGTTCCCAAGAGTTTGATTATTGCAGTTGTCGGATTTTCAATTATTGAAAATGGCTGTGGGCCCGTCCGCTATGCCACTGGTATCAATGCTGCGTACGCACAAAAACTTTGCGTATGCCAGATTTCACGCTCAGGTTTGGATTTACTAACGATGAAATTAACGAGAGAATGTGCGTCGGTGCATGCCAATAACTTCATGTCTGGCGTACGTGCATTTCTGTTGTGTGTTTGTTTTATTTCCATTGACGACTCCTAAAGGCAATTATTTTAAATTGCACCCTACAAACTATCTTTGAGCCGCAGCTGTTTGGGACAGGATCATCCGCATGTCTAGCAGGTATATAAGGTTTCCATACCACGCAGTTGACCAGCTAAACATGAAAGTGCAATTTGCAGCTATCTCCGGTTTTCCCAATGTAATTGGAGCAATCGACTACACGCACATTGCTATCAAGGCACCATCTGAAGACGAATTTGCATACGTGAATCAGAAACATTTCCTTTCAATAAATGTGCAAATAAAAGATGATGCTCAGATGCGCTTAACATAATACACACACTTATTATTGATTGCTACTTGTCTTCCTCGGGATGAAGAGTAGGCAAAATCTGATATATAGTTGGAGAAAAAAAAGAAGAATGTCTTCATCAGACGCTGGATTCCAACCGAGTTCATGCTCGAACGTGTTAAAACATGTTGCCATGCGCTTTATGAGCTACGCCACTCACACTGCTAGAGACACTAACATTTTTACATCTTTACATCGGACCATTTCTTTTTTAATTCACTCACAGTGCGATGTTCAGACCCAACTGCGTTAACCGCACCAGCTAAACTCTCCCACTCAATTTTTTTCTTTTCTTATTATTTCAGAGGACAAACTTGCAAATAACACCGTTTTTCTCTGGTCTACCTCCGAAAGGAGCACCTCCAATTCACATTCTTTTTAAAGTTTCTCTTCTTGCTTGCTTTTGCCATTGTTTTTTCGTTTGGTTTTGCCAAAAGTAAGAGTCATTAGCATATTCATATGGGGGAGGAGGCAGGAAGGGGTTTTGCGCTCGTGCATGTTGCGCTCAGTTTCACGTTCATTCGGATGTACAAAAGAATATGTGTGGGGTTCAGCATACGCAGTGCTTCATACATATGAATTTTTTACTGTTTTAGTATGAATTCAACGCAAGTCTTCTTACATGAGGCCTCTGATGTTTCTGAATAAGACCTTGACTGGCTAAACCAGGTGTTTCTGATAGTTTGGCCACTAAATTAAAACTACAACAAAATGACAAATCACTGGAAGCAGTTATTTAGAGCCCACTTTCAAACACATCAGTGACTGGTGGTGCTCATGCTGTTTTTTGAGTTCAAATCTTGCTCGCAACAGTCCCAATCCTGACCCCTTTCTTTCCTTCCACTTTAGTTTCATTAAAAGTAAGAACTTGTGACAATCAGGCATCAGTCCCTGAAAGAAGTTGCATCTACTCTCTTGCACTTTCCTCTTCTTTCTCATCTCCATTTGTCACAAGATGTCTCTTTAACCTGCCGACTTCACAGCTCCACAAAAGTTTTTACAAATTGGCTCTGCGATCTGCCTGCGTAATTGGAGCAGTTTTTTTTTTGCCTATGTGGAACAGCAGTGTTTATTCGCAGTGGCGTCGAGACATGGTGTTGTGTAGATTAGGTGTTCAGCTTCGCTATCGCAGCTCATCCTTTACGCGGCACAATCAGAGGCGCTGATCTGAGCCGGCCCTAATTAGCTGTCAGCTCCAAACTTGCAGTCGGGCACAAACAAGCAAAGCATAGCGTAGGGGATCATTTTGTCATTCACAATTTCTCCAGACCGTGCTAGTAACAGTGTGGGATTTGCTTCGGTTTGCGACAGCTAATGACTGCTGCCTGTCCTGATAGTTTAGAAAATCATTGCGGTAACAATGACATGAAATTGAAAAAATAACAATAATCTGGAACATTACAGAAGCTTATTATTACCTCAGTGAACGTGAAAGTAGGACATATTTATAGTAATCCTTACAGAAGTTGAACGGTACTTGTTGAACTTTTATCTAAATTGCCTGACATTGTGTCAGAACTAGTCTGGCTAAAAAAATAGTTCATCTCAAAATGAAAATTACCCCATAATTTACTTACCCTCCAGCCATCATCTGTGCATATAACTTTTTTGGTAACACTTTACTTAAAGGGGTGTTCATAAGACCATCACGAAAGCTTTATTATATAATGTGAATGAGATGTTATGCATACTGCATTAACGACAACTGTTACTAAGTGTCACTTGCTCAGTTATGTAATTTTAAATGCAAGAATGACATTGCTTTGACAACTTGACATAAACAAATACATCACAGCTAAAACTGTTATAACATTCATGATATATTTATAATGGATGACAATCATGTTTATGACAGGTGTTGTTGTATTGGTAATGTCAGGTAGTCATAACAAAGACAAAAACAGGTTGTGATAAATTTGTTTATGTCAAGTTGTCATAATAAACAATGTTTCCCCCTTCAAGTAAAGTGTTCCCCTTTTTTCTGTCAAACACACACACAGTTTGGCATATAGTTTAAAATTTTATCCTGGCTCTTCCATACTGACAGTATAGCAGTGTTAAGAAAAGGAGATTTTTTTTTGTTGTTGCATAAAATAAGCCCCTTTCACACATACAGACCTTTCCGGAAAATTGCCGGCAATTTTCCGGAAAGGTTGTATGTGTGAACAGGTCCTTTTTGAAAATACCGGTAAATTCATTCTGGCTATTTTCCGGAAAGAGAAGTTGTAACATTACCGGCAATTTGCCGGAATGCTGCGCTGTGTGAATGCAGAAGGAAGATTACCGTAATAAGCGCGTGCACGTCTAGAACGTGCTGACGTGAGACGTCTGCTTTAGCCAATCACAACAGTCAGACGCATTTACGTCCGCGCGGTTTGTGAGCATAAAAGCCTTTGAATATTTTTCCAGACACATTTAGCTGCTAGAAGTTAGTCAGATCACGTTTATATGTTCTTCTTAATGCCAACTGTGCAAATAATCATCGATGAGATGCTTATGATAAGCCGTTGTTTGTTTACCTTCAAGCTTTGCGTGTGCCTGTGAAACAGCCTGTGAGCGCCTGCACACGCACATATTATGAACATCTCGACATGCGAAAGTGATCCTGCGAAAGTTGTTCACAATATTGATCATCCACAGAGTTTGTAATTTAGTCAAATGTTTACAAATACAAGCGCGGCCGTTTAAAGCTCATTTGTGATGAATGATGTCAGAATTTACCGGTATTTTGGAATGGATGTGTGAACGGTCTTTTCCGGAAAATTTCCGGAACGTCCTCGCCTGTGTTAACAGCGCTTTTTTGAATATACCGGTAAAGTCGTTCCGGAAATTTTCCGGATATTTACCGGTATCACTGTGTGAAAGGGGCTATTGGCACAAATCCATAAACGCATGTCTTTTTATGTCGTTTTTTTATTAAATTGTAAAAACATTTTTTTAAATTTATTTTTAAAATAATAAACTCAAATTACTAACTTTCAGCAACTTTATAACTGAAGCTTCAGAAATAAATGTGTTCGCTGGGAATGCATCCTTGTGGGAGTAATATACAGTAAAACATTATACAGTATGCAATCTAACCAGACATCCATCGTCGTCTTCAACTGTGTGGCAAATGGTTTGCAGGAGATGTGTCAATTCCTGAAGCTTCTGCTATTCGAACCTATATGAACCTATGCCTTTTATTAAAACATTACTGTTTATTAACACTTACAAAGTATGATCTTATTTTACATCCCTAATCTACCCTATAAACTCAACTACTACCTTACTAATTATTAACAAGCAGAGACTGTAATTAGTAGTTTATTGAGCTAAAAGTCATAAGTTGTACATTAAAACCAAATGTGACAATAAAAATAGAGGTATTTTTTATAAAAAACATTGATCAATTTTATAGGACATGTTTTTAACCTGCTGGGTGCATATGGGTTGATTTTACAACTAATTTATAAAGTTTTGAAACTTTCAAAAAACACCCACTATATTTACTACCATTAAAGAGCGTGTCATAAGTCAGAATTAAATGTAAAACTACTCCAACTGTGTTTATCTGGCAGAAGAAAGTTATTTGATGGATTGAGGATGGATTGGGAATCAGGAAATTATAAGGGTATTTTTTTTTGGCTATCCTTTATAGTATAGTATAGTATAGTATAGTATAGTATAGTATAGTATAGTATAGTATAGTATAGTATAGTATAGTATAGTATAAGTACAGTTCTCCTAAAAAGTGTAAAATGTGTCATTAATTGCTCACCCTCATTTTTTGTTCTATACACGTAAGAATTTCATTTATACCAAAACAAGGCGAATCAAGGTTTTTCATGAAGAATTTTCTTACATGTAGCCGAACGGGCAGTCCTTGGCACATGAGACAGCCTTGCACTTCTTGTGACGTGGACGACACTGGCAAACATCGCATCCATGAATGTCAGTCTGGAAGCCAAAAGGGCATTTCAGGGTACAGCTGGCCATTAGACCACCACACAGCTCCTCTCCTGAAGGTTGGAAGAGAAACAAACAATATAATATAATATAATATAATATAATATAATATAATATAATATAATATAATATAATATAATATAATATAATAAATATAATATAATATAATATAATATAATATAATATAATATAATATAATATAATAATGTGATGTTAATATAATATAATATAATATAATATAATATAATACAATATAATATAATATAATATAATATAATATAATAAAATATAATATAATATAATATAATATAATATAATATAATATAATATAATATAATAATGTGATGTTAATATAATATAATATAATATAATATAATATAATATAATATAATATAATATAATATAATATAATAAAATATAATATAATAATGTGATGTTAATATAATATAATATAATACAATATAATATAATATAATAAAATATAATATAATATAATATAATATAATATAATAATGTGATGTTAATATAATATAATATAATATAATATAATACAATATAATATAATAATGTGATGTTAATATAATATAATATAATAAAATATAATATAATATAATGTTGATATAATAATATAATAAAATAATAAAATGTTTTTTTCACTCTATTAAACTAATCTATAGTATATTTATCATTTACATAAAACTTAATTAATTTTCATTCAATTTGTTTTGATTTTAATTGAGTTTCTGAAGCAAACAATTGTATAATACACATTATAGATTACAATATATTATATGTACATTATATTATATTTAAAAGAAGAAAAACACGCATATTAATGTGTGCAAGCAAATACCTTTAAATCTATTTTTTATATATATATTTTAGTCAAGTGTGTCCAAATGTTTGCTTAGTAGTCTATATCTTACTATAGAGCATTTCTAACGGACAACTAGGTTTGTAATCCCATTCTAAAAAATGAGGCCATCTTATTTTAGTTATATTTTTATTTTAATTATAGTTTAGAGTATTTAAGAGTAAACTTTGAGAATAGAGCTCAAGTTAGCAATTCAATTACTTAATATTTCATCAAACGTTTTCACGATTTTGTTGTGTATTTAAATTATTTATTCATTTTTTTGTAAAAATATTTACAGCAGTATTTTTTTTATTAAAAAAACAGTACTTTTCTGTTACTTGATTTAGCCATCATAGTATTTATTAACGTTTAGGTCTATAATGTAATACATATAACACAATATAATATAATATAATGTAAAATAATGTAATATAATAAATATATAATATAATATAATATAATAATATAATATAATATAATATAATAATATAATATAATATATTATAATATAATATAATATAATATAAAATAAAGTAATATAATATAATATAATATAATATAATATAATATAAAATAATATAATATAATATAATATAATTTAATATAATATAATATAAAATAAAGTAATATAATATAATATAATATAATATAATATAATATAATATAATATAATATAATATAATATAATATAATATAATATAAAAATCACACGCAGACACAATTTGTTTGCAAGCATATAGTGGAAACTTAGAGTCATGCAGACTCATCTCAGCATAAAAAACAATCACTTAATCCACCCGTCCTTCACTATTTATCCTCATAAACATCTCAAGTAAAGCCAGTGTGTGTCTGGAGTGAAGCTGATGAAGATGAAGCACTTACGGCTCTTACAGGCGCACGTCCTGCAGCCACTGGGGTCCAGCCTGAAGCCAAACACGCAGCTCTGCTCCAGCAGTGTGCAGTTATCCAGTGAGCCACAGGCAGGGGGCGCCATCGTGATGTAGGTGGGCTCTGGAAAACACACACAAAATCCCCCCAGAGGATGTGAGTCACTCTTGAGCAAGTCAGATAGTTAAACAGACTGAGAGAAAGAGAAAGAGAAAGAATATGGGGAACGTATGGAGCTCGACTGCTCCTACACTTATGAGTTCTGACACTTTTAATCTTATACTTTCTTTTAGTAACAGTTAAAAGCAAAGTTCACACAAAAACAACACTCTTGGTGTCATTTATCATTTGGACCTATACACATGCTGGACAGGAAAAAGTTTTTAGACAATATTATGCCCATTCTTTTCAGAAAAACAGTATTCTTTTAGTATTAATAATTGATAATACAGTATTTCTATAGTAAAAAGTTTTTATTTTATTCATTCATTCATTTTCCTAGGGCTTAGTCCTTTTATTTATCAGAGGTCGCCACAGTGGAATGAACCGCCAACTTATTCAGCAAAAGTTTTACACAGTGCATGCCTTCCCAGCAGCAACCCAGCACTGGGAAACATACACTCATTCACACACATACACTATTGCCAATTTAGTTTATCCAATACATCAATAGAGCATGTCTTTGCACTGTGGGGGAACCTTCTTGCTTTGAGGTGATAGTGCTAACCACTAAGCCACCGTGTCGCCAGTTTATATATTTTATATATTTATTTGATAAACTTGAGTAGATTTTTTCATGATATCACGTACTTGTTTTTTAATAATTCCATTAAACTTTATTATATTTCAGATTATTTTTATATGAGTTTTATTCTTGCTTTCTTATTATATAATATTCATTATATTTTATAATTTTATTCCTGGAAAAAGTAAATTTTTTTGAGGAAATGTATTTACTTTTTAATTGTTAACTTTCTAAAGTAATAAAACCAGTGTTATATTCATATTTGTAAACATTTTAACTATAATTTGAGCAATTATGTTGAGTTTGTTTGCTTTATTTATTAGATTTTTTATTAGGTTAAAGATTTTTAATTTGGTTAGAAAGAGCATACTAAATGTTTTAAAAACAAAACAAAACAAAACATATATATATATATATATATATATATATATATATATATATATATATATATATATATATATATATATAAAACATCACAAAAATTTTAAATAAACTACTGTAAATATACACACCTTATTAGATACACCTGTCCAACTGCTCGTTAACGCAAATTTCTAATCAGCCAATCACATGTCAGCAACTCAATGCATTTAGGCATGTAAACATGGTCAAGATGATCTGTTGCAGTTCAAACCAAGCCTCAGAATGGGGAAGAAAGGTGATTTAAGTGACTTTGAATGTGGCATGGTTGTTGGTGCCTGACAGGCTGGTCTGAGTATTTCACATTTCAGATTTTACAGAGAATGGTCTGAAATAGAGAAAATATCCAGTGAGCGGCAGTTCTGTTTGTGTAAATGATTGCTGATGTCAGAGGTCAGAGGAAAATGGCCAAACTTATTCGAGCTGATAGAAAGGCAACAGTTACACAAATAACCCCTCGTTACAACTGAGATATGCAGATGAGCATCTCTAAATGCACATTACATCCAAGCTTGAGGTGGATGGGCTACAGCAGCAGAAAACCACACCGGGCGCTACTCCTGTCAGCTACAAACAGGAAACTGAGGCTGCAGTTTACACAGGCTCACTATAATTGGACAGTAGAAGATTGGAAAAACGGAGTCTTGATTTCTGCTGCGATATTCGGATGGTAGGGTTAAAATTTGACGTCAAAAACATGAAGGCATGAATCCATCCTGCCTTGTATCTATGGTTCAGGCTGGGTGTGGTGGTATAGTTGTGTGGGGGGATATTTTCTTAGCACACTATGGATCCATTAGCACAAATTGAGCATCAGCCTACCTAGTACTGTTGCAGACCGTGTCCAGCCTTTTATGACCACAGTGTACCCATCTTTTGATGGCTACTTCCAGCAGGATAACGTGTCATGTCATAAAGTGTGAATCATTTCAGACTTAATTCCTGAACATGACAATGAGCTCACTGTACTCAAATGGCCTTCACAGTCACCAGATCTCAATCAATAGAGCACCTTTGGGATGTGGTGGAACGGGAGATTCTCATCATGGATGTGCAGCTGACAAATCTGCACCAACTGTGTGATGCTATCATGCCAATATGAACCAAAATCTCTGAGGGATATTTCCAGTACCTTGTTGAATCTGTGCTACAAAGGATTAAGGCAGATCAGAAGGCAAAAGGGGTCCAACCCAGAACTACAGTAGTAAGGTGTACCTAATAAAGTGGCCGGTGAGTGTATATTCATGTTTACAGCTTCATTTTTAAAGATGTTTCCCAGTACTGGGTTGTGGCAGGATAGGCATCCGCTGCTTAATTATTCCACTGGAATAGTTGACGGTTCATTGCGCTGTGGCAACCCCTGATAAATAAGAGACTAAACCGAAGGAGAAATGAATGAATGAATAAATGATTAAAACCCTTAGTATGTGCTTTTCATTTTATAGCAGTAATATAATGCATTTGCTTTTATGTTCTAATATTAATTTAAGCTTTAGTAATGAAAGTCTTTGTTATATTCTGAGCTTATAGCTTTATTTGTATATTATTCATAGTTATTTTTTTATTCATTTGAGTACTTCAACAAAGACCATTTCATTTCAATTAGATGCCAATGAATCCTTTTGACCTAACATTTGCATTGCATGTTAATTATAATTAGCATAATTCAATTAACTTTATTTTAATTAAAGAACATGATTTTTAATTACGCTTTAATAGTGTTAGTTTCACTTTCAGTCAACAAAAAACAACAACAAATCTTCTCATCTCTGTTCACTTGCAGTGAGATCTCAGTCTAATAAAAATCCCACCTGGATATTTTTGATTTGACTGAATCGATTATAAGATAAAAGAGCGGTTTACAAATATATGCTTGTCATGTCTCCGTGAAACACAAGCCACTCTTTTCTGTTTAGGTTTTGACACCTCTTACAAGTTTCTGTTTGATCACGGTGCTTCTGATCAAAAGTTACACCACGTTCTGATAAAAATGGGAAACAATCCAGACAGATGGAAAGAGAGAGATAAATAGACAAAGTTGTCAGGATTTAAAATGGATAAAAGCTTTCGTGACTACAAATACAGTTGATGGCAGCGGTCCAAAAATGAGCTATCATCATCATCATCATCATCATAAGAAATGGACTTTTCACAGCGCGACAAGAATCTATAATGTGCTACTCCTGCAAAAGCTGAATGCTTGCAGTACAGGCTGAAATTACCGGCTAAATCGATTGGTTTGTGTGTCGAACAACTCATCCAATCAGCTTCTCTCACTTTTTTTGCAGTCAGTCATTTTCATGATGAAGTACATCAACATGAATATCCTTTTTTTCTGACCAAACATAAGATGAAGCACCTTAAAGGGACAGTTCAAGCAAAAATGAAATAAAAATGTCCTTTATGTGAAGATCTCAAAGTATCTGCTTTTAAAAATACATGAGTTATAAACGAAAACTACAAACAGTGCAATGGTTTTACTGCACTTTTCAAATTTAAAGAAATAATTCCCCCAAAAATGTAAGTTACCCAATAGTTTACAGATGCCTTTCTTTCTTTCTTTCTTTCTTTCTTTCTTTTTCTGTTTTCAGTATTTTGTAGTTTTAAATTGTATTCTGGTGGTGTAGGATAGTGGCCCTTTTTTGAAGCATACATTTATGTTAAAAATAACCCCACACATCACTAAAGGGTAATGCACGTTTTATTAAGTGAATGACTGTTTATATATATATATATATAAACATTCATATATATCTTTTTTGTAAAAAATATATCTTATATTTTCTCAAATATTTAAATATTTCATTATTCAAATATAAAAAAAATATATATAAATATATTTAAATTAGTAAAACCTTTGGATAAAAAATCCTTAGACACCTTTTTGTGAAGTTTGACTCATTTCAATGTTCATTTTAAATACTGAAATATTTGGGTAATCAATTTAAAATGATAATTCCCAATTACAGAGACAGAGGAAAGTTGATTAAAGACTGATTACTGATTAGCCTCTGTTGATTCTGCAACCAAAAAGTTTCATTTGTCAGTTGAAATGGTTTGCTTTTGGTTGTAAGCCAGTTATAAACTGAGCTATTACAATTCAGGGAAATCATTTAACTATATAAGGTATATATATATATATATATATATATATATATATATATATATATGAAGAGTTCAGATGCAAAATGTGATAGAATGTGATAGAAACAAAACTACACAGCACTATTTCGTTCCATAGGTATTTACATTTCTATACAATTCTATATATGTATTAAACACATATTGGATATCTAAATATAAATAAAGAAATCTCAAATATATGCATGCATGTGTGTAATTAAAACAGATATACATTGCACACACACATATATATGGGGTCAAAACCAACTTTTATTTTACTATTATTTTATTCACTTTTGTCCAGCATTACTAAAATTATAATTTCAGCTTTCCTAAAAGCTTGCAAACATCTTGAAATTACCGACTGAACTGAATGCTTTGTGCCTGTCAAACAGCTCTTCCAATCAGCAGCTTCTCTCGTTTATTTTTCCTTTTTTTGCATGAATGCAGGGAATTTTTGCTTTGGCGAATCAATATAATGATCAAGTTTATCAATGAACATGAGTAGACTTTCCAATCTCTTATAATCAACAGCAGATACTCTACCATAAAGCCTCCAGGTTATTCAATGATTTTTAAGATCAAAAAGTGTAAAGTAAAACGAAATCAAAACTAACCATATTGATCTTGTTAGCTCACATTGCTTTTTTTGTAGTGAAAAATTAATCTGTGCATGTCATTAAGAAAAAAAAAGTGTTTGTTATCTTAATCTAAAATTGAAATCTGAAAATACATGTCCTTTTTGCTCACCATTAGATTCTTACATTACGTCTGTCTGAGGTATTGGGCGTGACTAACATATTTAACGCCCCTACAACTCTCAGTTTTGACAAAA